GGCTCCAGAAGGCGACCACGCTCACGCTCCAGATCGCGTTCGGCTCACCGGCGCTCGCGTTCGCCGTATAGCCGAGGCCGTGAGCGATCGTTGCATTCGCGCGGCCGCGACGATTACAGTGAGAGAGGCCGTGAGAGAAGCGGCGATTACTATAGGCAGAGAAGCGGCAGTTATTCGCGCTCCTCGCGCAACTATGAGCCTATCGAGTCATTCCGTGTACTGGACTCGCGCCTCTATCCGGAATATAGTCATCACGGACAGCGTTCAACATCGCCGACGGGCACAGTCATATCGGATTCGGGCAAGGAGCCGGAGCCAGCCGAAGAGAACGAGGGACCGCTGACCGTGGTCAGTGTGCTGCGCATGCTATCCGCATTAGAGGATCAGTTGGGCAGTCTGGGCCCCAAGGCTCTCAATTTGCTGAGCAAAGCGCTGGCCATGGAGAAAATCAAGCCGAACGCTGCCGACGATCTCTTATTGAACGAGGACAATTGCGTCTTCCTGGAGACCACCAAGGAGAAGCTAAAGGGTATACTCATTGCCGAAGTGCTCGATGATCCGCAAAAAGTGCGCGTTGTGAAAAAGTTAATCAGCAATATAGCCACCATCATCTTCCAGGTGACCTCCAGAGGTAAGTTCATTACGATATCAATACCCAAATCCTGTCACTTTACAGAGGCCAATCCAATAGTCCGGGATGAGGGTAAGTATTGTGTCTTTGCTCGTTACCGGCGTAAGGCGTGGGTAGAGCTCGCTCGGACAGTTGCGCACACTTGGGCTGAATATTTTCATTGCCAAGAGCCGAAAAAAAAAAAGCAACGATTCATCCAAAATCCTCTCTTGGTAAGCTGGAAATATTCAATACCTTCTATGCGAACTGTTTGATTGGCTCACCCTTGCTATATCGAAATACGTTTAAGCAGCTCGAACTTTCAGTTTTCGCGCTTGTCCTTACGTTCGTTCCGGTTTTGATTATCTTGAATTAGTTATAATTCGGAAAACTTTTTTATGCGTATACCATAAGTAATTCGCCAAGCCTTTTTATTCGTGTGCTATGTGTAATTCTATTGTAAGTTATCTTGAGCTATTGGGCCATGTCTGGGATATTAAACATGTCTCTCTTTATCTATAAGCTTACATGCTTAGGATATTATTCATATATTCATATTGTCTCCTTTCGCATTTAAGAACAATTTTCGCACTTATAATTATCGATTACAATATTATCGATCAGTTTTTATATCTAATCTATTCTAATCTAATATATATGTATAAATATTATATCTGTTTGATGTAATATATTCAAATGCCTTACAAGATCTTCTGGTTAGTTCAGCTTGAACTGAAAATTTAATATATATACTATATAGTGTATATATTGCATATGAAGTTTGTTCCTCCTCAACGCCTATTCTCTTTTTTATTAAGCAAAATATAAAATAATATTCAAAATAAGAATTTGAATCAAAATCCTGATATTTCTTGATGATCTAAAAAGTTCTTAGAACAATTTTGGCATATTTTATATGATATATACCGTACATATTTGGGTATATTTTTGCATACATATATGTATTTATATATAGTTGCCTATATATCTGACGGTATTTTACTTGTCTATGCCCCGTTACGAGTTTTTTT